GGAAATTTAAACGCGCTTCAGCAGCGATCATTTAAATATGCTCTGGTCCGCTCAGGCTTATGTTCTGATGCTTGCAGAAGTTCGTTTAATAATGGCGAACATATTACCGAAGAAAGTTAATTCCATCCATTTATCATAAAAATTGTGTTAGACAGCATTTTTAAACACAATGCTTAAAATTGTTCAAGCGCCCTACCAGGAACGGAAATTTAAACGCGCTTCAGCAGCGATCATTTAAATATGCTCTGGTCCGCTCAGGCTTATGTTCTGATGCTTGCAGAAGTTCGTTTAATAATGGTGAACATATTACCGGAGTAGCTTATTGTAGTAAGCCTAGCACCATTGGGCCCATAGTTCCAAGCGCAAAAAGTCTTACACATTCTCAAATTTTTGAGCGATGTGCAAGCCACAATCAACCAACTTCTTTACAACTCACGCCGATAATTAAATACTTGAGGCCAAGCCAATTCAGCGCGCGTTAACAGGAAAATATTAAACTAAAAATGTGATAAAACACGCACATGATTGGAACTAGGATAGAAAAGGAGGTAGAAATTTTTGCTACAAACCTAGCTAACAAAAGCAACTACAATTTATTGGTCTGTGCAAACCGCTCCTCTGAAGAATTCATTTATAGGATAGGGCAGGAGGTACTGGGCAGCCCCGTGAAACTCCCATGTTATTGGTGGGCAACATGTCCGCCATGACACCACCGTGCAGTGCTCCTGCCATCTCTATATATATCCTACATTAACTAAATTTAAAATGACCGACAGATTTTTCAAATCTTTCGTTGTAATATGAGACACTATGTTCTTTGCTGATACAAACAAAGTTAATTCCATCCATTTATCATAAAAATTGTGTTAAACACAGCGCTTAAAATTGTTTAAGCGCCCTAACAGGAACGGACATTTAAACGCGCTTCAGCAGCGGTCATTTAAAGAAACTCCGGCCAGCCCAAGCTTACCACCATTTCGAAAGCCCGGCGTTTAAGGGGTCCGAAGTGCCCCGTTTGTGCCAGTGATCAGTATAGTAGTCGTGGCCAAAGTACCCCGTTTTGGCCAGTCGGGCATTTAAACTCCGCTAAACCATACACCAGTGCCTTACCGAAGGCCCATCATGCACTTTAAAACGTGTGTATTTGCCGCAAATCCCAAGGCAAGCATACGACATTGCAGGCATAAGTAATGCTCTGTGGACGGTACATTTCATCTTAGAGCTTAATCGCTCACTTTTTCAATGAAGGTCATGCTCTAATAAATGTTGTGAAGGTATTTACTTCGATCATTTATGTATCCAATCCTCTTGCCGACAAAATATACAGATGTACATGACTCACGAAGGGGGTTCTTCATCTGTTCAATATGAGATGACACCCAACCGATCTCTCTTGAAATAAAATTTCATTTCTTTTGTTTCAGCGTTCACACTGCGTCTCAATCGCATCCGGACCTCGCTGCAGCGTTCTGAGAACATACCCTTCTTTGCTCTCGGTCGCATACACATGGGTGCCAGCAGCAAACACCTAGATATACACTAGTATTTTTCAGGGGAGACGGGAGGTTCATTTATACATATGCTGTACAAGCCGTGGCACTCCTTTTCTCGTGGCATAAACGTTTTGCCTTCGACCGAAACTCTGAATTTTCTCGCGGAAAACATGTGCCAACAGACTTCATTATACTAACAGAAATTTTAATTTCAACTTATACGCACTGTTGTATGGTCCCTGACCGCAGGGAAATCTCCACTGCGTCTTATAGCCGCCCACGTGTACGTCTACGGCCATGAAATTCATTATTGCCTACAGGTACCGAATTCTACATTGATGGCATACATCAGGACCAAGTTCATTGTCCCGACTCT